TAATCTTATATAGCTGGGAAATATTTAAATAAGCACAAAGCTTGGGACTCAAGAGGTTAAAACTGGTGGGGCACAGCCCCCCATGGCCACCCCCACTTGTTGCGCCCCTGGTGACGGACAGGTGATGTTCCACAGTGAAATCACGAGCTGGAGCACCACGCATCTCTGTTAGATCTAGCTGGAAGACTTCAAATTGGTCTTCTGAGGTAAACAGCTGATTTGTTGTCAGGCTGAGCTTTATGGAAGAAGTTTTCTGTTTGAAGCGGCTCGGCCCTGTTAGAGCCGCTGCACTGCGCATCTCTCTGCTGGATGCCAGAGACAAACAGAGATTTAATTTATGCAGCACTAATAGGAACAAGGCATTTCTTATTTTGTGAGTTTTTAGTTTTTAATAAGCGCCACTGTTTGTTTTAGCAGCCCGCCTAGGGTTATTGGGACTAATTTTTCTGATCTCCGCTCTTCATCGTCAGCTCAGGTGGCGCCCTGTAGCGCAAATCAGCTGTGCGGTATGATCGGCCTGACCGGTGCTGAGGAGAGGTAGAGAAGTCATTTGATATGGCATAGTTCAGAGCACAATGAATCCAGAAAAACATCAGAGCCCCAGAACCTGTCGCTCCTTGATGTAGGGATGTGGATAAATTTTAATCCTACGCCAATATTAAATCTGACAGCGGATTTCAAAAGAACATTACAAACCATACAAAATAACACCAAAATCATGTGATGATCTGAAGTATGAGGGAAGTTATTGATGTTTTAGGTGAAATCAGCTCATGTTTTCTTGCTGCAGTTCACAGCAGAACCAATGTGTGACCATTTCACCTGGTTCTTATCTATTTTTGCTCATAACTTCCTCAGTGTTGACGATATCACCATGAAATTTTAGGAAAAGATTCACATTCTGGTTTTGTAGAAAGCATCTTGTATCATAAAACTAATAAAACTTAATAATAGCCAAATCAAAAGTAGCAGAAAAGGTATAAAATAACATTACAAGGCAAACTGGAGCATCAAATCAACTTAATGTGTCTTAGAAAGTAAGGAAATTAAAACAATGTAAAAACCATGTGGACATCTGTTTTGTAAACAAAGCTCCTCAACCAATGTTAAATGCGTCAGGTGATGAAGACGAGCGTCAAAACACTTTACTAACAAGCGCTATTCCAGATTTAAAAAAACATACTTCAAAGTTTCAAATCATCAAATTAGGAACAAGGGTAGATAAAATAATGTTCTTCATGGCAGCTTATCTCTTTAAGGGGTCACTAAAAAAACTCGGGTGATTGACTTTGATCCTATTTTCAAAAAATTGTCTCTTCAAAACGCATCAACAAAAATTAAACTGGAAGACGAGGCTGTAGCTAACTACCTGACGTCGGCACGCTTTGTTGAAATTCGTAGAAATAATGAAAGGAGGAAATTACAAGCAAACACACCGAGCAGCCTTGCAAAATCTGGTCACAGCAGTTTGGGAAGAAAATGGCAGCAGTTGCTAAAGTAAAGTAAAGGTGCTTTATTTGTCATCAGTGTATGTTTCCACACAATGATGAAATTGTGCTCTGCATTTGACCCATCCACACCCAAGTGGAGCAGCGGGCAGCCATGTGAGGCGCCCGGGGAGCAGTTAGGGTTAGGTGTCTTGCAGTTAGGGTTAGGTGTCTTGCTCAAGGACACCACGACATGTGGGCATGGTGGGGAGTCTAACCTAAGACTTTCAGGTCCCAAGCCGGCTGCTCTACCACTACACCACAGCCGCCCCCAAAATGTCAACATCAAGGAGTGATGCTGATGAAATGTCAACATCCCTACTTGATGTCGCGCTCGCCCTGCGCAGATGAATCGCGCGTATCAGACTGGTGGTTCACTCCAGCTTGTGGGCCAGTTCNCTGCACATCTCTGTTAGATCTAGCTGGAAGACTTTTCAAATTCGTCTTCTGAGGTAAACAGCTGATTTGTTGTCAGGCTGAGCTTTATGGGAGAAGTTTTCTGTTTGAAGCCGCTCGGCCCTGTTAGAGCTGCTGCACTGTGCATCTCTCTGCTGGATGCCAGAGACAAGAGATTTAATTTATGCAGCACTAACAGGGACAAGGCATTTCTTATTTTGTGAATTTTTAGTTTTTAATAAGCGCCACTGTTTGCTTTAGCAGCCCGCCTAGGGTTATTGGGACTAATTTTCCTGATCTCAGCTCTTCATCATCAGCTCAGGTGGCACCCTGCAGCGCAAATCAGCTGTGCGGTATGATTGGCCTGACCGGTGCTGAGGAGAGGTAGAGAAGTTATTTGATATGTCATAGTTTGGAGCGTAACAGATCCAGAAAAACATCAGCGCTCCAAAACCTGTCGCTCCTTGATGTAGGGATGTGGATAAATTTTTAATCCTACGCCAATATTAAATCTGACAGCGGATTCCAAAAGAACATTACAAACCATACAAAATAACACCAAAATCATGTGATGATCGAGGGAAGTTATTGATGTTTTAGGTGAAATCAGTGCATGTTTTCTTGCTGCAGTTCACAGCAGAACCAATGGGGCCTTTGTGACCATTTCACCTGGTTCTTATCTATTTTTGCTCATAACTTCCTCAGTGTTGAAGATATCACTGTGAAATTTTAGGAAAAGATTCACATTCTGGTTTTGTAGGAAGCATCTTGTATCACAAAACTAATAAAACTTAATAATAGCCAAATCAAAAGTAGCAGAAAAGGTATAAAATAACATTACAAGGCAAACTGTAGTATCAAATCAACTTAATGTGTCTTAGAAAGTAAGGAAATTAAAACAATTTAAAAACCATGTGGACATCTGTTTTGTAAACAAAGCTCCTCAACCAATGACAGCGTGTTAAATGTGTCAGGTGATGAAGACGAGCATCAACACACTTTACTAACAAGCGCTATTCCAGATTTAAAAAAACATACTTCGAAGTTTCAAATCATCAAATTAGGAACAAGGGCAGATAAAATAATGTTCTTCACGGCAACTTATTTATTTAAGGAGTCACTAAAAAAACTCGGGTGATTGACTTTGATCCTATTTTCAAAAAACTGTCTCTTCAAAACGCATCAACAAAAATTAAACTGGAAGACGAGGCTGTAGCTAACTACCTGACGTCGGCACGCTTTGTTGAAATTCGTGGAAATAATGAAGCAGGAGGAGCAAACGCACCGAGCAGCCTTGCAAAATCTGCTCACAGCAGTTTGGGAAGAAAATGGCAGCAGCTGCTGACGAAATGTCAACATCCCTACTTGATGTCGCGCTCGCCCTGCGCAGATGAATCGCGCGTATCAGACTGGTGGTTCACTCCAGCTTGTGGGCCAGTTCACGGACTGAACCACCGGCCCTCTGACCTGCGTCTGGGCCYGTGGTTCAGGGGCTGAWGTGAACCACTGTGCGCAGATGACGGGCGGGGGACCGGTGGTTCAGCTCGTGGGCCGGTACCAGYTTCGGCTRGGTTGCGCCCGRGTCTTCTCTGTTATTCACTTAACCTAGCAACACYTTCCTGAAGTTCTGTGCAGGGCTGGYGGAGCTCGCAACTTCTGGCTGATRCGCTCSAATTAAAAGAAATAATCCTGTGTCCGCATCGTGATCCGAAACATCACCAACATTTAATGGTGTGCTACGTGTGCTAGTATGCACGTGTTGTAAATGTCATGACAATCCGTCCACACGTTTTTGAGTAAGGCTGTCCACAGACTGACCGACAGACAGACATACGCAACCGAAAACATAATAATTTGGGTTTAYCTCCAGTATCAGTACTTGTAGTTGCATTTTATTTAACATCTTATTGCGGCATGAATTTCCTCAGCTGTTGCTAAATTTACATTTTAAAAACAAATTCTTTGGTCCGTGATGAATTTTCAAACTACGCCGACTTGGTGAAAAAAAAGGGGGCAAAAAAATAAAATAACCTCCACCATCTTCGTTTCTGCTTTCGGCACATTAGATCCTGGGATATCCTTGGCCAGGAAGAATACTTGGATGCATTCTTGATTTCCAAGATTTTGTGGGCAAATGCGCACTCATGAGGAATGCAGCCAATGAARTGAGACACAGCCAGTGTGTCTGAGAATCTGGGGCTTAGTGGGTCCGGAAAACGGGACCTCAAGGGATGAATGGCTCTTTGAAGGGATCTTGATCTTGATCATTACATATGCCATACTCCCTCCCCATCCCCCTTGAGCCACTGCACACCACCTCCTGTCTGTTTTCCACGAAAAGGTGAAAGGAGGAGCGATTGTCTCTGTGGTTAAGGAGGAAAAATTAAAAATATTATGAGGAGTTAAAAAAATTAATTGCAAACGGCTAGTTTACTGCCTGCAACTTGGTTCCAGCCGCTCCTTTTAAGGAACTGTTCGACCAACTCAGATCGTTTGCAAACATCACATCTCTAGATCTCTAGATACACTCAACCATTTAAGCTAAATGGGATGTTCACWGGCATCATAAACTGCAGGCAGATCCAACATGAGCATTACAGAGCATTCTCTTTGTGTCAAAATGTTACTGGAGACTCTTACAAGAGCTGTTTCAGTAGACTGAGCGTCACAGAAGCCTGCCTAGGAACAATTCAAGATGTTTTTATCTAGAACGGCTGTAATCTGTTTAGCCTCAACCTTTCTTAAATGTTCTTTTTTCAGATATCTAAGCTTGAGTTGGAACTGCAGGCAGCTCAGTCGACTGCCAGGGAGAGTCAGGGGGCTTTGAATGCAGCTCAGGACGAGCTGGTGACCCTGAGRGAGGAGCTTGCACAGCTCTATCATCACGTGTGTTTATGCAATAATGAGACGCCCAACCGTGTCATGCTGGATTACTACAGGTACGTCTGTTTTCCTGGAAAGGTCAAAGGAAGCACCTGACTGTGCAGCCATTTTACTTACAGGAAGCTCTACAGTGCTAATGCGTTTAAATTTTAATCATTAATGCTGTTTCAAATGCTATTTTTAAAAATAATTTATAATATTTTGAATTAAGGAGAGGTTTTAGTTCTTTGGTTCTGTTCTTATTAACAGTTTGTGTAAAAGTATTTTTTTCAGTGGGAATATAATAGTTTAAAAC